GGCTCGTGCTCGCGGCCCGCCCCGAGCTGTGCCCTGTTCCCCCGGCTCCCTGCGGGGTTGATCGGTGCAGGAGCGCGGCCGCCGCGCGGGGGCCCGTCCCGCGCTCGGGCCCGTCTGGCCCGGTTACCGTTTAGTGAAAGCCCGAGGGCTGCGGCCGTTTGGGCTGCACGGAGGTAACGAGCGGCGACCCTGTGTGCTCAGGATAGGGGCAATCTTACAAACCCCCATTTTCTTCCTCTCTTTTTTCAGGTGTGGAATCAGAGGGTTTATTTTAGACATACAAAAGAGGCCAAGTTTATTAGCATGGGACCCCGTTAAAGCCCCTTTCATGTCTGAGGGAAATGGCTATGTGGGAACAATGCTTTTGTTCTCTTTTAACCTGTATTTTTTTGGTATTTCTCTACCTGCAATAATAAAAGAGGAAGAAGTGTAGTGGTTTCCCGACATGAACATTTCTACCCTTGCTTTGCTTTTATAGGTGGAATTACTTTTTCCTTTACGATGGTTCAAAGGTTAAGGAAGAGGGAGATCCCACAAGTGCTGGTATTTGTTATTTTTATCCTTCTCAGGTAATTCCTGCTTTTATTCTAGCGCCTGTATTGCTTGTACTGATAATCCCTTTGATGGTTCCAGACTGTGCCTGGGATAAACATGTATCCTTAAAAGCTTTAAGCAAAGTCCTGCAGCCAGAAGCAGGTGGAGCGAGGCCCCTTTCCCAGGCTGGACGGGGCTGTGTTGTCCTCCCTCGTGTTTGTGAGCGCTGCTCCCTCGGATCCCTGTCCGTGGAATCACCTGGCAGTGTCCAGCCCGATCCGTGTTGTGAATCCACCCCAGCGGTGACAGGCTGCTCTGGGCCCTTGTCCTCCTGCAGAATAAACAGTCCGGTTATTTTTTTCCACACAAATTTCCTGTTCTGCTGCATTTGATTTACGATTGACGTGTTTTTGTAATCATTTTTAAGTGAGTGCAGTAGTGATATTTTTCAAGTCCTTAAAAAAATAAATAAATGAGCGGTTCTCCCGTGCCTTTTCTCCCCGGTGTTCAGCAGACTCTCCCCGAGCAGCAGGAGCTGCTGTGCGGGCAGATCGCAGGAGTGGTGCGCTGCATCACGGAGATTTCCGGAGCTCCTCCCAGGCTCGTTCGGCTGAGAAAGCTCAAGTTTGCAGTCATCGTGGATGGAGACTATCTGTGGGTGAGTGCCAGAGCTCCGGAGGCGGCGGAGGAACTAAAACAATGAGAAATCCCAACTATTTTGTTAAACTAAGAGGGCTTTTTTTTCCAGGGTATGGGCCTGCACACAAGTAGACCTGGGGAGAGCTAGGGTGTGAACTTGCAATGCACAGCTTTTCATTGCAAGGTAACTTGGATTTTGTTTACCACAGTGTACAAGCGTGTGTAGTGGCAGTTATTTCAGCTGTTCTGTGAAAAATAGCTTGGTGTCCCTCACTTATGTGTCCACACCAAACATATTTTCTTTTCTTAAAATGTACTTGGCAATGGCTACAAAAGGTTGAGATCTACCTAACTGTAAATGTCTCTGTGGGCTCTTGGCAATGACTGGAAACAAGTCCGTGTACCATAGTTTAAAATAAGGACTCAGACTGCAGTTTTGTAGCCTGACTGCTCTTCCCCTCTAACCCTCAGTATCCCCTGCTGCAGACTTTATCAGTGTTTGGCCAAAAAGCCCAAACCATCCCCTGGAAACTAGACCTGTTCTGTGCTGTTTGGGCTTGCTTAGTTCTCAGGAGCAGAAGGCTCTTGAACTTCTGTTTCTTCCTGGCAACTCAAAAGCTAAATGAGGCATCCTGGCCTCTGTAGATAGCAGATTAATTTGAATACTTACTTTCAGGAAAATGCTTTTAGCTTCTAGAGCACTAAGCTAGGTCTCTAGCACCTGTGATGGGAAGGGAGTGTATCTAAAACTCTGGATTTCCACTATCATTTATTTTTCCTGTTTGTGACAAAGCTCCTCCATGGATATTTTTGAATTTGCTTTTTTGTTATGTTTGTGAATATGGGTGACATTTGCCTGCCATAGAACTGTTTGTCTTTTAATATCAATTTGAAAGAATTGTTCTCACCTGCTGGCCCTGAGTTGTGCCTGTAAACGTTCTTCATTCCTGGTTTTCTGTATTGAAGGTTCTGGGCTGTGCTGTTGAGCTCCCCGATATCAGCTGTAGGCGGTTTCTGGAGCAGCTCATCAGCCTCTTCAGGTTTTACAATGGACCCGTGCGCCACGCTTACATGGTAAGGAAGGATCCACACTGTGATACTTCAGGCCAGGAAGAGCTCTTGTCACCACCCGTGTTGGCCAGGCTTTGTCCAGGAACACGTGTGCTGGCTTGTTGCCTTGTGCTCTGTCTTTCTACTCACAAGGGTCAGAGCAAACTCACATTTCAAAAACTGGGACCAGGCCCATCCTCCTGTTACACTGAGGCACTGCAGTCATTTGCTGTCTCCCTTCTGTGCTGCTGTTCTCAATCTCAGGTGATGAAGTTCTCCTGGTCCACCCTTCAGCTGGCAAGTCCCATAACACAGAAGTTTCTGAGATGTTCAGTCTGAAGACGTTCTGTGTCCTTTTTCTCCTTATCCTCATACGAGTTTCCACTTACAATTAATGTCCCAGATTGATCGTGTCTAATCATCCTGAATGCATTAGGGACTGAGGTGTGACAGACATATGGATTTTTCTTGTCCCCAGGCATTTTCTCAGGAAGAGCTGAGCAAGCAGTGGGACAAGTATATCGAACATATCCAAAAAAACACTAATGACCTCCACAAGGTTTTCAATTCTCTTTGGAATCTGGACAAAACCAAGGTAAAAGCCTGTCCTCTGTTGCATCTAACTCTAGGCTTGCCACAGGGCTAGTGTTTTTGCTTTTATTTGTTGCTTGGAGCATTTCCAAGGACTCTCTGGCTTAACTTCTGTTTCTCCCTACCCAGGTGGATCCCCTGCTCTTACTGAAAGCCGCTCTCATCTTACAAACCTGCCAGCGCTCCCCCCATGTCTTGGCAGGCTGCATTCTCTACAAAGGCCTGTAAGTGACCAGGCGTTGCCCGGAGGGTCACAGAGGGCTGTGATCCCAGAGAGGGAGCAGAGCAGGGGCACTTGCTGTGCAGGCAGGGCTGTTCACAGCTGGTGGGAACACTGATGAGTCAGGCAGTGCAGACAGACCCTGTCTGCTGGTGTATTCCAAAGAGGGTGGACGTTATCTCTGTTCATCAGCAGGAGAAACTGAAGCATGAAGAAATGTAAGATTTAGGTTTTAGTAGGTATTCTGCTATCTTTGGCGTTCAGTAGGACAAGAAGACCTATCTGCTTAGGCCCTTTAGATGGAGGTAACCAAGAAAATTAAGTTTAGAGTACACATGAGCAAGTTATTCACGCACTAACTTTGTTTCTCTTGAAAGGTTGAAGGGTGCTCAGCAGAAATACTGGCTCCTGAGCTTCCAGTGTGCCAGTGTTTACATCAGTAGTAACATAACTAAGAATGCAGGGACCCGATCCTGGCAGATTCTAGTGCTTTAGACACCTTTCACATTTTACTTTAGACTCCCCAGAGTTGGGATCATCCTTGGCTTGTGAAATACAACCCAGGCACGTTTTGGTGTTGCCAGGTGCTTCTGCCCTTTTTAGGGAATGGAAGTCTCTGAGCTGCAGAGCTTTCCAAATGCTGGGAAGTACAAAGTGCCGCTGCAAAAGCTCTCTGCAAATCAGGATAAAACATGTGAACATTACTCTTTTCTCCTCCTTGTGTTTTCTTTTCTGTCTTGCAAATTCAGTGCCTGTGGTTGTGTGTGTGTCTGTGTATATTTTTTTCTGATGTGTTGGCCAGGATGGCTATCTCTGCTGACAGAAGTGATGTAGAAGAGTGAGCCAGGATTTCCCACAAGAAATGTTGACTTTATTCAACACAAAGATTGATCCTAGGCAGCTGAAGACGCTGCAGATGTGGCATTGCAGCACAGCAAGGAGGGCCTTCAAGAAAGGCGAGAAATGGGAGATTCTGAGAATTTCTTGGCAATAGCACTCCTGAGAGCCTTTCAGGGAATCTACAGAATATGGAGCTCAGCAGGATGTAAACGAAAAGACCCAAGAACTCCTTTGCATCTCCTTTGCTCAGGGTGCTTGGAGCTGTGCAGTTGGAGCAGCCCTGCTGCCCGGGCCTGTCCTGAGTGATGATAGTCTACAGCTGAGCTTAAAAAAATGATACTGTGCTCATGAATTACTTTATTTTACTCTTTCAGGATTGTGAGTACCCAGCTGCCACCTCCTCTTACTGCCCAAGTTCTCCTCCAGGGCAGTGAATCCTCAGGCGAGGTATGGTACTAAGCAAATTCACTGCACACAGATGCACACTGTGCGAGGGGCTGTTCACACATACAGCGTTTGCAGGCAGTTGCCAAGAACAAATATTGTTGCTGACACTGGAAGTTTTTATGAGCTCAGATTGAGTAAGGTTTCAAGACTTCTGCACTAGGGATTTGCTCTTTTTTTCCTCAGTCCTTCAACTACTGAATTCAGAAATTCTCTGTTTGATTATGTTCTTACTCAGATTTGCATGTTTAGTAGTAAATGTTTGTAAAAAAACATCTAAAAGTGACAGAGTGGATCAGTTTTCATTTCCATTAAAAGTCTTAAAATATATATATATATATGTGATTTGAGATCTTCTACCCCCCAAAAAAAAAAAAGCTTTTAAGATATAGGCATAAAAGTCTTGACACTGTCTGAGAGGAGAACGGTCTAAGCTTGTGTACCCTGAGTTGGCAGTCATGGCAGATTGTGATATTTGTCCTTGAGTTGAGCTGTACTGGGAGAAGTCCCCTCGAGTGTGAGGGCTGCATGGAGAACAAGTCATCACACAACACACTAAACCCACCACAGCATCTGCTCTTTGCTCTGGTGTCCCTGTGGTCCCTGGGAGAGCTCCTGTTGTTCCCTGTGCGGATAACGGGGGGAGACGTCGGGATAGCGGGAAGTGTTGGCTCGTGCTGCAAAGCTGATTCTTGGCTTTTCTTCCAGAGCGAGCCTGGAGGTGAGGAGCAGCAGAAGCCTGGTGAGCATCCAGCTGCAGAGCACTCACTGCCAGGAGCACAGCAGCAGAGCAGGGGCAGCTCTGGGGCTGAGTTCACTCTGCAGGGAGAGCATGAGCTGGTTTTCTGGGGCTGGTGTCAAATCTCTTGCTGAATGTGAAAATATATTTTTGAGGGCATTGCTGCCTCTGGCCAGGGAGTGCCAGGGGGTGTTGTGGTAGCCACAGCTAGTTCCTTCGAGCAAAGGGGTGTGTTCTTTGGGGCTTAATCATGAGTTTGCAGGTTATCAGTACACCTATTTTAACTCCAGTTCCCTGTGTGTTTCCTTGGCCACTGATGGCACCAAGAGGATGGGTGACTGGTGCTTTGACTCCAGATCTTCGCTTGACATGTTTTAGCATCACTTTATAGGTATGCTGACAGGATGGTCAGCAAAAAACAAGCAAACAGACAGACAAAATTCTAAGGAAAAGTTGTTAAGTGGATGGAAAAATGCTGTCTAGTCAGATTTTGCCAGTTCCCAGAATGACCCAGGGTGCAGAATGAGAGTGTCTTCATGCAGGCGCCTTTGCACTGATGAAATTCGGCTTTTGTTTGTTATGCAGGGCCATGTTAATTTAATTCCTCCAACCTCCATTGCTCTTCCAGATTCTCCATTGCCACCGGGAGTTCGTATCATTCCGGTTTTCCTAACAGAAGATGAAGTCTCAGTGCTCCGAGACTTTCCAGTAGAGTGGATGACTAGGTAGGAAATGAACTTGAGACGTGAAGAAGCCTTTGCAGCAAGTGATCTAACATGTAGCAGTGTGTCCTCAATAGCTGTTGTTAATTGCTTACTCTAACACTAATTCACACTCTATTGCCTGGCTGTTAAGGCTGCCTGAGGCCTTTTAGGATGGACAAAATTGGTGGTATCTACTGTTGTGAAGCAGCCTAAAGCAAAACTGTGTCTCAAGACCAACTGAGATGTTCTGTTGTTGCTCAGTTCATTGTGCTCGGTTTAAAACCCTTGTGCGTTGTGAATAAGGGAGCAGTGTTGCAGGGGGTCCATGCATGAGGCTCAGGTTTTTCACGGGGTCAGAACTCAGCCCATTCTTTGTTGAGATAGTTGTGCATTGTAGCAGTGCTATTAGTGACTCCAAAGAGGAGCTAATCAGTAGTCTAATCAACTTTTCATCTCCTTCTAGGTCATCTGTGTCCCCAGCAAGTCCTAAAGGAGGAAAGGACACTCTCTCCTCGCAGGTAGCCTCAGAAGCATCAGGGGTTCCCGAGTACCAAGACCTGAATAGTGCCTCTGTTCCGGGGTCCCCCGAGCAGGCTTCGAGCGCAGACGTGGCGTCAGCGGGCGGCCTTGCAAACACACGTGCTGTGAAGGGCTTCCCCGGGCCTGAAGCCAGCACCAAAAATTCCCCAAGTGCAGAACAGAGCCAAAGCCCAGAGCTGAGCAGAGGAGCATCCTTCTCATCAGAGACACACCTGGAAGAGCTGCCAAGCGCTTCCAAACTCCAGACTGCTGAGTATGCTCAGACTGCAGGTCCATCCCTGGAAGGCTTTTTCTTTCCAAACCCGTATGTCCAGGAGAGTCAGAGCACGGGGGAATCCCTTGTGGACTTTGCTGTTAAAGAGCACGGTTTCCAAAGACGTCCTGCAGCCAGTGGCAGCCCGTCCATTTGCTCTCCTGTTCAAGAACCAAGCAGGAGGAAGTCAAGCGAACAAGACCAGCAAGAGACTGTCAGGCAAAATAGTATCCCTGGAAAGAGCAGCAGTGAAACTGGTGGTAACGTCTGGGGTTTGAATCATCCAGATTCTGTGCAACCAGAGCACGAAAGCAGGATTCCGATGCCTGCCGCAGACGTCCAGGAGAGCCTGCCCAGGGACACAGCAGAGAGCTCGGGCGGCAGCGGGAAGCAGGACCCGGCTCCTCGGGTGGATGTCCTGGGAGCTCAGAGCAGTGGCGCCTCGGGCAGACAGAGCAAACCAGTCAGCATGAGCTTGTATGTTCACTGCATTAAGGGGCTGGTGCTCTTGCTGCTGGCTGAGGAGCAGCTCAGAGAGGACCAGAGCTCCATTGAAGATGTGGTAAGCAGGAACACCTTCCAAACCTGCAGATATTTCTCTGCTGCTTGTCTTGTGACGGTGGCATGCAACAGGGCTTAGGAGTGAGAAGTGAGCGTTGAAGCTTCCTTCCCATCTCTTTGCTTTGTGGTGTGAAAGGCAGGGCCATTTGGCTTAGGGGTAGCCCCTGCAACAAAAGATATCCTGGAAGTTGTTAGGAAACGTAAGGCAGCAAGCCTCAGAGGTGAGAGCGTTATTACAGATAACTCCCACAGCCTGTCTGTTAGTGCCAGTACTAAGCAGCACTCTCGAGCAGAACGTGTTGATGTGACCCTGAGACAGCCCCACAGGTTGCCGCAGGCCTGTGTTGTATTGGGGATTTGCAGGGAAACCCTGTCAGTTTTACAGCGGCGTTCAGAAAACAAGGTTTGTTGTGTGTTGCTTAACCTCCGCGTTGTGTGTCGCAGCTTCTCACTCCGGAGGCATCGGCGAGATGTGTGTCTGGCAGCAAGCTGCCAAGTGTTTCCTTCCCAAACGCCTGTCTGGCTCTGCGAATCCCTATCCTGCCGCTCCTCGGCGGTGCTCCCCAGGGGAGCGTGTTAGGAACCAAGGTGCAGGGATGGGCCAGCCGCCCCCGGCGCGCCGCCGCCGCCGCCTCCCTCACCCGCAGCTGAGTCAAAGCTGCAGAGGCCTCTCTGATGTGCCAGTTGCCATAGGAACAACCTCATTTCTTTAACCGTCAGGCTGGAAGGTGCAGGGAGGCTCCAGCTAACGCTGCCTCCCCGCATTAGCGAGGTTGCAGCTTTTCCCTCTGAGCTGGTGGTGCTGGTGTCCCCATGCGCAGGGGGTGGCACTCGTGCCGTGCCGCTGCAGGGACAGCCCCAGTTTGTGTGCCCGAGGGGGCCCCCGTGCCCCTTCTGCCCGTGTTAAATCAGCCGGTGACACTGGCACCATCTCAAGCGTCTCCTCTGGAGGGGAAGGAGAAGAAAGAACGTGCGTGGGAGGCAGCTGGCATTCCCTGGACCTGAGCGGTGGGAGGACAGAGTGGCCCTGGGGATGCCCGTCTTGGTTCAGCGTGGCTCCCTGCTCGCCGCAGGCACACGCTGCCCGGCCTTTCCTCCCGTTAAATCCGGGACTAAACCGTCTCGAGGCAGGGTGGGCCCATCCTGGCTCAGTTTGCCATTCAGAGCGTTAAGCCTTGAGATTCGCTGCATAACACTGGTACACTCTATTTCTGTTGTTAGAACAAAAATACAATCAAATTTCCTATTTATATTGCCCCAGTTTTCAAAAATCCTGTTCAATTCAGGCTTACATTTTTCCAAGCGTGCTGTCTTCGCTCGCACACAGCATTGCTTTTGATCTCGTTTTAGCAAACCTTCCTCGTACACAGTGTTGGCTGTGGCCCTGCCTCTGTTCCCGCGTGCTCTCTGTCCCCCAGGACGGATGTTCGTGCTCTCCCGGACGGCTGTTGTTTTTGCTCTCCTGGACGGCTGTTGTTTGTGCTCTCCTGGCAGCAGCGGGCTGTGAGCTCCCAGGTGCTGCTGCTGGCGTCATGGTGCGTTTGCGGCAGGGCCTCAGCTTGTCTGTTCTTTTGTTTCTCTTTAGATTAAAAATGACCCTCAGCTCTCAGGGATGTCCAAGCTCAGTTATAAATGATGTTGGTCGAATGCTTTGAGGCCCCTGAATGACACCAAAGAAGGGTAAAATATGCTGCTTGCGCTGCTAAGAACAGCAAGAAGTACAGCTCGTCCCCCGGGAAAGCGGTTTCTAACACGGACTCTCACTGCAGAGCAGAAGGGCTTCCAGGCTCGCCCCGTGCCTGTCTTCAGGTCTTATCCCCTCATTACACTGCACAGGAAGAAAATCTGCTCTGCGGGCAGCAAGGTCGAGGGTAGGGGAGGTGATGCCGGTGTGCTGAGTTGAGGCTTTATCCTCTCTGGGGCTCGGGAAGGAGCGTGGACAGGCCGGGATTATGGAGCTAAGCTGCCTATTCCATGGCCGGGCCGGCTGTCCTCAATTCTTTTCAGGCCGTATTGCCCTTTTCCGAACCCCCCTTACACTGACCCGTGCTTCTAGCCCAGCTCTCAGCCATGAGAGTCCTCTGCAATTCCTTCTGGGAAGTATCTGCTCTGACGCTTGTCTTTTTTCCCCTGTTTGCAGTACCATAGCAGTCTGGCTTCTCTAAATGGCCTTGAGGTTCATCTAAGGGAAACTCTGCCCAAAGACTCCTCTTCTTCTGCTAAGACAACGTACAGTTTCACTCACTATGACTCCATTCAGAATGTGCTCACAGGTAAGTCTTCACCTCGCAGAAGAGCAGTCTTTTCAGAAGAGGGAATGGTCTGAGAACAGGGTTTGTTGTAACCTTTTCTCGTTTCACACATTGTTTCTGAAACATTGCCTGTAAGTTAGTATAACTTATCCTTATGGAGTGGCCTGGGTAAAGGCCCTGCTGAGAAAGATTTGTCCTGTGTGAGTCCGTAATCTGCTCCAGACTGCTGATCACAGCTGTAGTTTGGACCGGAGCCAGAGGCTCTTTGGAGATGGAGTCTGGGCAGCTGCTGCTTCCGTGGACACGTGTGTCCTGGGGCTCTGCTGCCGTGGCCCAACGCAGGGCGGCAGCGCTCCAGACCCCAGTGATTCCAGGCTACCCTGGGCCTCCCTTGTCACCTCGCTGGTCTGTGCACCGTGGGGAAGAGGACACCAGGCTTTTTGTTTGCACGTGGCTGAGCAAAATCCCAAATGTCATCCATGTCCCACTGCGGCTTAGGTACCGCCCGGGCTCTGTTTTCCTGCAGTTCCTGGACAGCCACAGCCTCGAACTTTCCCTCGACAACAAAAGAGGGCAGCTGCTTTGCAGAGGGCTTCTAACACCTCCTCTTTATTCCTGTTCTGCAGCCAACCTGCCTCCCACACCCGGCCCCATGGATCGGCACTTCCTGAGAGCTGCTACGCTGATCCACTCGGACTTCAGCCGCTTTCCAGATGTTTCGGAAATGTTAATTAGGTAAAACCCTTTCATAACAACCCCCCTCTTCCAGGCACAGGAGTGTGCTGTACCCCACTGCACAGGCCAGGGGGGAACCCCTTTCCTGAGGCCGGGGGGTCTGGCGTGTGCTGTCACCACGTGGTTGTCCTTGCCAAAGGCCGCTCATGTCCCCTGCTCCCTCGTGTTGCCCTGTGGAGATGGGCAGCGGGTGTTTGTCCTGCAGGCTCATCAGGGTGGCACCCACACCAGTGAGTGGAAGATGCAGCTCAGTTGTGCCAAGGGCTTGGATTAAGATATAATGTTAGAGCATTGCCAGTTCCTGGCACCATAAGGTTCTAAGATACAGTTTTAAATATAGCCGTTCCTAATAAATTTGTGTCTCGGCTGGGAGCCAAAGGCGCCCAGAATTGGCAACCTAGATTTTGTTTTCTTGCACGGCGTGTTGGGTTGGAAACACGCTGTAATGTGCGTGGCAAACTCAATTGTACCGCGCCAAGCGAGATGGTCTTATCACAGCCAGAGCCCTTGCACGCCCAGAGCTGAGGCTGGGCTGGTGCTGCTGCTGCCACCCGCTCTGCTGCGAGGCCTCCCACCGCCCGCGTGCTCCAGGCTCTGCTTGTTTGCCCACTGTGCGCTGAGATAAGGGCGACTCTGGGAATTAATGTGTTTCACTTCGCTAACACTGCTTGCCAAGGGAGTGTGAATCATGCACTTCAATGCTGGAGAGCTCCTGGTTTAGTGTTAGATTCACTGGCTCTTTAAATTCAGGACTGGGTAAGCTGACATATTCTGTGTTGCCCCAAAAAAAGCAGCTTCGTGTGGGAATCAAACTGAGTAACAAGATTACTAAAACCGCTTTATTTTATGAAGAGTTGTCACAGAGGGTTGTTGGCAAACATATCAGTTCCTGCTTTCCTCTGTCAAGGAGAAATGCAGGGTCCTCCGCTTTGTTCCCTCCCCCTCTGCTCAGAGTGGTGATTTTTAGTAAGTGACTTCAGGCGTTTTGGTTACAGGATCTCACCCGTGTCTTGGGTTCGTTATCCATGAGGCTAAATAAGCTCGGCCCGTCCTGCTGCACGGCGCCGTGCCGGGCCTGGCTCGTGGGCAGAGCCGTGGGCGCCTTCCCTGCGGGAACGGGGGGCCGGTGCCTCCGAGGCTGCGGCGGTGCCAGGGCCACGGCCGCACACGGGGTGGTCACGCTGCAGAGCGGGTTGAGGAGGGTCATGGTTTCCCTCTTAGGATGCCAGGACTCCTGAGAAAAAGGGTCTGGGTCCCTTCTGGGAGCCCCTTCTGGCAGGGGGTTGCCCATTTTGGCTCTGTGTGTCTTTGCTCTGCCGAGGTAGCCCTAGAAGTCCCTCAAGCTCGTTGGGATGGCAGTGCCCAGCCCCGGGTCAGTGTGTGCTGTGAGTAGAAGGGGATCTTGCACAAAGGGATTTCTTGCTGCTGACTGTTCCTTTCTTTGCCGTCCTGCTAGGAACGCCTCCACCGCCGTGTACGCCTGCCGTAATCCCGTCCAGGAGACCTACTTCCAGCAGCTGGGCGCTCCGCTCCGCAACTCCGGCGTTCCCAACCCTCACGACAGCGCGTTCAGCTTACCCAGCAAGGCCAAGCAGAAGCTGCTGAAGCACGGGGTGAACCTGCTCTGAACTGCACTGAGGCCTGTGCTAAACGTTAGTGCATCTCCAGTAAGCAGAACCAGAGCTAGTTATCCCGTTGGAGGCTTTAGGCTCTCTGCCGAGTCCATGGGGTCTCTGCTCTGCCTTGCTTGGTGAGGGGACCCCCTCGCTGCCCTGTGCCTGCAGCACGGTTTGTGCTAGTGCAGAGTGGCTGTTAGCACTCACCAAAGAGCGAGGAGCGAAAGCAGCTGTGCTGGGACACTGGTTTGTACTCGCTGTGTCCCCGTTCAAGCTGCTCTGCCCTCACAGGCAGAACAGCTGCCTTAACCTGAAGGAAGCCCCTTTCCTTGCTCTAAGCCACCCCGCATGCCGGGGCGCTGGGCAGTGTTTGCGTTCAGGGATGTCAGGCAGACACCAGTGCCTTCGCTTGCCCTGGCCTGACTTGGGCTTCATTTACACCTCTTAATCTACAGCAATGATCCCCTGCCACAGCCTAATTCCTTACCTTGAATTAACAGACTAACTGGAACAGAACAAGCGCTGCAGAACTAATCATCCTCTCTTCGTAGCTCTCAATAGCTCTCTCTACTGTAGCTGAATCCGGGAGGTCCTTGTCCCTCTGTGCCTGCTCAGAGACTGTGCGGAGCCCTCCGGCCAGGGGGGCCGGCATGGCATGGCCCTGCATCCCGCCCGCTCTTGGCCTCCTGCTCCCCCTGCTCACAGGGGTACTGGGCTGCTGAGGACCCCGTTTCACCTCCTTGCGCTCTCGCCGCTCCGTTTGTCTGTGCCGTGTTGGCAGAAAAGGCAGCCGGGGGCTCCCGAAGCCGATGGGATGAGAGAGGCTCCCCAGCTGCTCCGTGGCTGCTGTCTCTGTGTCCAGGGAGCGCGTCCCCTTTCCGCAGCGCGCCGTGGGGCCCTGAGGGCGGCTCAGGGGGGCTCATTTGCCATCTGGCAGCTCCGCGTGCCCCGCAGGGGCTGCAGGTGCAAGCGCAGCCGGCGCCGCAGCTGCAGGATGCAGCGGAGTCCCCGGGACTCGCGTGTGCGAGGGCAGAGTCCCGCGTGCTGCTGCTGCCCTCGGTCGCACTCCCTGCTGTGGGAGGTCGACCCCCGTGCTGCTCCTCGCCTCCCCGGGGGGTTCCACAGGTTGGAGCACGCTGGAAGGAGCCCGTTTGCCAGGATTCCTGGGGGAGCTGCGGGCGGACGCGCTGCACGGGGCCGCTCTCCTCGGGCGCGGGCAGCCCCGGTGCCCGGGCTGCCCCGGGAGCAGCTCCAGGCTGCCCTGCTCTCCCGAGGGGGATCCCGCCGGCTCCTCCCTGCCTGTTGTGGGAAGCGGTTGTCTGCTCTACAAGGGAAAACCAAGAAGTTGAAAGAAAAGCCTGGAAGGGACAGGAGGGAGTTTTGGCACCGCAGCACAGCACAAAATAGATCATTTTGCCTGCTGTCTTCAGAAATCTCCTGCTGCAATCTGCTCTGCCGTCTGTCAGAGCGGAACTGCTGGGATGGCTTCGTTTTATTTTACTTCTTGAGCTACATCTGGTCACCAAGACCAGCTTCGGTGCTCCCGAGTGTTGAGAATTGTTTTGCAGTAGCACAGCCAAGTACTCCAGGCCCTCCACTTAATGGCTGTGCTTTGCAGAAAGGATCTTTAGACGCTGCTCCTGCTCGTGCCCAGGGAGGGGACGGGCGGCCGCGCAGGAGGAGGCTGCCCAGGGCCGTCGTGCCGGGTGATTCCTCACGCTCCCAAACAGGCCCTGTGTTCTGGTGGGGCTGGGCACTGCTTTCAGGCAGCTGCTTTCAACAAGTCCTGGCCAATAGTGCCTCCCCGATCACGAGCTCCAGAGCTCCCTGGGTGTCACTGCAGGGACCTGCACGCGTTTCCCAAAGCCAGTTTTGGGAAGAACGTCCTGTGGGCCCGGTAATGTGCTAACAAGCAGGCCCTTGTGCCAGGGTTATCAGGGATAGTCCCTGCTGCCCTGGGCACGGGCAGCGTTTCTGAAACCTGTAACTCGTGGCAAGCAGTGGGACTCGCAGCGAAGCGCACGGACTAGAGGAACGTGATAAACACGGGCAGAATGAAAGCTGATAGTCCCAACGGACTGCTGGGGAGGTCCCGGACAGAGAGGCTAAAAGCGTTCGGGACAGAAGGGGACGGAAGTGCCAAGGCCCAGATGTTTTGGAGCAATTGCCTGGCACGTCCCTCTGCTCGCCCTGCGCCGTGCCGGACAAGGGACGTGGGGCAGGGACCTCAGCAGCGTGGGGCGAGCGTGGCCCTGGGCAGGACAGGCCACATCCTCGGGCTCTGCTTCGTGCCCGGGTAGTTAAACATGCAGGCAGAGCCCACTCGGTTTTCAGCACAACTCTTTATTGGTAATCTTTGCTTATCCACTGTATGAATGTAACCAAACTGTAAGACAGTTAACAAGCCAGCCTGCCTCCCCAGATCCCGTAGTCAATGTGTAGAAATCATGCACTTCAGATATTCTGTAACAAGACAGGTGTAAAAAATATTTCAGATGTATTTGAAATCTCTGCCTTATCTTGCAATCTGATCACTGAAAAATCTGTATAGAAATCTGACGGGAAGGGCGGCGCGGGGCCGGGGGACACGGGGCGGGGTGGC